ACTTGATACGTCGCGTGTATGGCAGGTTATACCAAGCATTTTACACCAGCTGGTCTAGTGCTCGATAACCCAGACTTAGTATTATGTCCTGGTGCCGTCCTCTCGGGCCAGGTTTTGCAGACTGACTCGCTATGTGAGCTTAGGTGAATCTCGTGGTCATTTGCTAAGGTGTGATCGAGACAGTTGTACATTGTTTCGTATCTATAGTGGTAAAGTCATCAGACGTTCATATATTAAGTGAGTCGATATCCTTGCATTCAGAGAATACATACGTACGGTGTTTAAAACTGGCTTGATATTTGCTCAGTAGTCCCCCACAAGCCTTATTAAATAAAAATGCCAATGAGTTGCATTGTGGTGTGATAATACTCTATCTCCCATGTATCTATGGTTTTTCCCATTATCCCTTCTATATCTTATCATTCTGTTAGAGGCAGCTGCACGCAGTAAAAGAATTAAAGTTTTAGTTTAGTTTAAATTATTTCAGCTGTCAAGGACATTTATATAGAAACTTGAAACAGGGTCACTGAGTTGAGAAAATACAAATCAAATCCAGTAGAATGGCATTAAATGATGAACCTGATCACCATACTTGGACTGCAAAATGCGATTTTTTTTAATGAAAAGTCACGCCAGATCATTATCCAAAACTATAGATAATAACTCAGTTGAAAACCCCCCAATACACTGCTAGTATTTAAACATTAAACCTAATTTTCATCCATAGGAATAGATAATACTATAATACTATAATATATATATATATATATATATATATATATGATATATTAAGTATTTAAACATGAATTTAATATGTACAGTATGCTTATTAACTAAATAATGGCATGGTTAGATTTTACAGTAAAATGATTTATACCGTATATCGTTTCATCACATGATCAAATAGAGACTTGACACAGGACACCATGAACATAAACATTACTTAGCAATCATCATTGTAAATGTGTATTTTATTGAATAGTTGTTATAGTTAGTAAACAAATTATTTTGTCATATACTGCCACTGACTATACCAAATAAATGAAAACCCTGATGGAAATGGGTTTGCCATTTCAAGGGCATAGCAAATCAAAGCAACACAAATTTTAACAAAGAGCCTTTATTAAGGTATATATTTATTAATATATACATTATATTGATTTGGCTTTTGTCCAAAGTGTCTGACAATAAGGGCATTCAAATTCAACGAGAACAAGCGCTAGATAATATCAAAAATTGAAAGTGAAAAAAATAATAAAAAATAATAAAAAAGCCTCAAACATACAAATGCATTATGTCAGACATCATGTGGGGCTTTATGCATTTCATGTGCACGGCTGGGGGTTGTCCACAGGTTCACATCGGTCCACCACAGCCCGGACTTCTGCAACCTGAATGCTGTCATACGTCCCAGTGATGGACGTTGTGTGGATCTCCCCGTTACCATAGGTGCGGCTGAGGCGCGCTGTGAACGGGATGTCAATCTTATACTTATACCGCTCCATATTAACTATGCAGGAGCGGTTTGGCGGAGCTGTGATCTCCACAGAAACAGTATCAGTGATTACTTCTGTCACTATTTCTCCCTTGGAGTACTGTAATGTCACCTCACTGCTGATCTCAATATTTGTGCTCAAGAAAGGGATGCCGACTTCAAAGCTTGTTCTAACACCAACTTTGATAGCAGAGGTGAAGTCCCACCTTTGCTCAACCTGATATGTCTTTGATAGGGAATCTGTTTTCACCACTGAGCGGCATTCGTAGTTGCTGATGGCTGTTTTTCGTATGATCTCTGGAGGATATTTTAAGATTTTAGACTCATCAATATTATACTTGACATCATAGATCTTCTGGCTGATTATATTCTCATTGATGGTCAGGACCTCATAGTAGTTGTACCAATATTCAGAACCCTCCCACGGCAGGTAGAAGGCCTTATCCTGAGTAGAAACCTTCCCAAGTCCATATTTGTTCTTCCCTACAAATATGTCCTCCCCAGGGCAGGTTCTGACTGAATTCTGGGGCACTGAACCATACGAATCCTCCTTCCACTCCAGGATCTCAAAGTTGTTTTTGTTCACCAGAATCTCAAACGGGGAACCAGAATAGGCTTTTCTTGTGCCGGAATAGTGGCAATAAGGGCCCTTACTGGGTGTATAAAAGCCAGCCTCACACCTGTATTTGCAGATATAATCAATACGATCAACATATCCATTGTAAATTGATACAGCATCGTTTGGGAGAGAGTTGTTCCAGGTCACCCACTCCAGGTAAGAGCCATCGTCAGACACAAAGGAGGAAGACTGAACCTGCCTCATCTGCCTTAATTTGGCAACAGTCAGAAGAGGTCGATCTGATAGTGGCAATCTGCTGGCGATCATTTCATCACTGCCATTTGAGTTCATGAAGGAGACTGGATAAAGAAAGGGGAAAATGCACAGACAAGAACAATGTTTGCTTTAATACAAGATAGTGGGCATTTTGCACCCACAGCTAAATTCTTTCTACAAAACCAATGGCTTTCCCACCAGCCTCAATGACAGTCACAGTAAACATCAAGAGATGAATTTTGAAAGAGAAATTGCTAGAGTTTCCCAAATGTCTTTTTTTCATGCCTTAAGCAGCAGCGCAAGCCAAATTCAAATCACCACATAGTACTGGGATGGTTGAAAGACTTACAAATATGAAACCAAAGCTCAAGTATCTGTCTCTATCTATCACTGCAAGGCTTAGGCCTTCAAGTAAGTGAGAAAACATGTTCAGTTTATTGGCATAAGCAATTTCTTTATTAACGTTTGTTGCTCTATAAGCCATCTTAAACATTTTTCCCTTTCCCAAATTTCATAATTCAATTCAATTAAATTTTATTTGTATAGCGCCAATTCATAACATAAGTTATCTCAGGAAACTTTTCAAATAGAGCAGGTCTAGACCGAACTCCTTATAACATGCCAGTTTGTGTTTACCATTTGTCATTGCGGTTTGCTCTGTGTTGTTCTTGATGTCCAGTGGACTGGCTAAGTACAGAGCCGGCAGGGCCAGCAGCAAAAACACTGACAGCTTCATCTGAAGAGGAAACACATAGACCAGCAGTTTATAATACAGCATTAAACCAATACTATATCATTTAATAATAATAATAATAATAATAATACATTTTATTTATAAGCGCTTTTCTAGATACTCAAAGACACTTTAAATAAAAATATAAAAACAGAAAAACAACATCAAATAGTAAAACACTAAAAACACATCTAAGCTAAACGTTAAAAGCAATTTTAAAAAGATGAGTTTTTGTCAGAGATTTAAATATATTAAAATGATGAAAACAATGTTTTACAGAAATGCAATTGTCCAAGTCTCCACACATATGTTTTAATTATTGAAAGAATCTTTTCTTTAATTTTGTCATAATTTTATGTGATGCACATTCAGAATTTGACTTATTTAACACTGAAAACACAAAACACATGAAACTACTCACCATCCCAGTGAACATCTCTTGGTGCACCACCAGCCTCCTTCAGGTTTATATATTTAGCTGCTTCCTGGTTAAGTCATTAAACAAATAGTGAGTATATTCACTTGGCTGTCCATTAACCAGTACAGAACAATACAACAACAGAAACTGGTTCAGTGGAGCGAGAGTAGACATTGAGATGATTTGTCCACCAAAAATATTGATTCAATGCTTGTTTTTCTGTCCTCCAAATAGTCTATGATGGTCAACACAATTAAAGGCTGGTTCAGTGTATATATTATTTCAGCCTTAAAGGAGAGGTAAAAGGGGCATGTCTCAGTCATTCAAATTTGTTAGTAAAAGAAAATGCATAAGAATGAAACATTTTTAGAATTAGCGTCAGCTTTTGTCATTATGTAAACAGGAAATCTGGTGTTTAAGGGATTCAAACCCTGATTAATACATTTAGCTGGATAATCTGATTCCCTGGGTATGTAAACCTAGGGCCAAGTGAAAGTGGTTTAAGTGACCTTTTAAAAACCATTAAATTAATTTTTCAGGATTGTTTTCAGCTCATTTGAGCTTTTGACTCCATATTTTTGTTGCTCGATAAGGCACTTTATATTCTTAAACATATCTGTAAAAGTATTTTCTTTCTCCCAGTTTGGTACCTGGTGAAACATTGATGCTGGAAGTAACGGGGCAGTGCCCCTTCACCGTCATGAACTTTTATGTTGATTTATTCCCCTTTTTTACAGGGATACTTATGTTTAGAGCACCGTTGTTTGTGGCATATTTTCAAAAGCATAAAAGGAGGCTGTTCATAAAATTAAATTGGACCACTGCTTTAAGTGAGAGGATTTGCCAGCTAGGGCTATTGCTGTGTGGATTGAACTTAAAATAATTCTAGTTTTGCTTTAAAGGATTTTAAATCAAAAGATTTCCTTGATTGGATACTTTTGTGTTTCCTCAAGTATTGCTGTAAGGAGACT